CCAATATGGCGGACGAGTTTTGTAATTATGGACCGATTCTATTCAAAATTGGTATCTGGGGACTTTTGCGGTCGGAGATTATGTTTCTCTCGTCAAAATTGGGAAATTCAAGATGGTGGATCCAATATGGCGGACGAGTTTTGTAATTATGGACCGATTCTATTCGGGGTCGGAAATTATGATTATTGTGTCAAAATTGGGAAATTCAAAATGTCAGATCCAATATGGCGAAAATTGGTATCTAAGGGTGTTTAGGGTCGGAGATTATGATTATTTCGTCAAAATGAGATTATGATTATTTCGTCAAAATGAGAAAATTTAATATGGCGGAGTCAATATGGCGATAAAATGATAGAAGTGTGCTGATAAATATTCAAATAAAAAAATATTTTCTAGAAATAATGCAAGACATCGTTTGCCGGGTTATTTAAATAATTGGTCAGTAGTGGAAAATTTCATAATCTTTGTTGTAGGTATTTGGATAAATGCTTTGTGCAGTTGATCTGAACCCTTGGCCCTTGACTATTCATCAGGTGCATACCAGCACGTTAAAAACCTGCCTCAAAGAGGGTCTATCATAGTATGCGGCTTCCATTCCATTTAACGAGGGGTTGGTCGGTCTTAGGTTGTTGTGTGTGTAGGGTGGTAGGACTCGTAGGGTTAGTCTGGCGTCTATCAATTTCAACACCACCTTCAGATGCACCAGCATCTCCATAGTTACGTGCGGTGTTGCCATGCCTGCTCCTTTGCTGTAGCTATCTGACTTTCGCTTTTGATGTTGGTCCTAATAGAGTCACTGGATGGTATTAGTTTGATAAGAGTTCGGACACAGAAATGACAACGGTTAGGGTTTTTGAATGTTTAGATTTATAAAGTTACACACCTTGCATTGTGACAAGAGCACCATAGTCGTCCCGCGCTTTTTCATTCAACATTTTTTGAATTTGACAATTCATTTTATGAACGTCAGAATTGAAATAAAATTTCATAATGATTATACTTTCGAGATAAAAGCAGCTATGGAAATCACTTGCTGAATAATAAATTATGCCAATTTTGAAACAAATGATGATATCCATTCAAATCAAATATCAAGCATTCGCTTATGGAAGAAAGATATGAAACGGCCTGGGTGGAAAATCAATTTGAAGACGAGCGAAATTTGTGAGGTACTCATTGAAATTCACTTCTTATAACAGCATCTGATTAGAATGAATCTATATTTTAGGTCCATTTTCAAACAGAAGATTTCAAAATCTGTTTGAGAGAATCTGCTGTTCCATCAATTTACAAAGCAGACGATTTCAAGAACAAAATTCCATTATTATCATCACACAAAATACAAAACAAAATAATCATGAAAAAAGGGAAAATGATCGCAAAATTACATTATGAAATTGAAAATTTGAAAACGAAACTAAGAAAAGCAAGTAAACTACAACGTGATATATTATTTATGGCGTTTTTGGTGCTGACCGCGAATTCAAAATTCAACAGTGAAAAGTGAATAGATATTTATGTATCAAGGGAATTATTATAATAAGGGCCTTAATTACGCTGGAGGTTATCGTTTTGGAGATATTTTCTATATCGATCCATGTTACTTAGCTCCTAGGGCGCTAAGTGAAGTTTCTGAGAACTTAACAAAACCAAGTATTTGGTAGGTCTCGTCAAAATGAATTACTTTCCAATGAAATCTTTATCGAAAAATGATTTGTTCTCTCTCTATATCTCCGAAATGAAGCATTTCCGGACACAAGCTTATATAGACTTTATTTCTTAAACTTGTCTCAGGAATACTTCACTGGAGTACAGTTTCACATACAATAAGGAGTTATAGCTATAAGTTTATCCATATGTATATATTCTCTGATATTAAAATGTTGTTACATGCATTTTTTTCATTTATATAATACTTGCTCTGCTAGAAGTGTATCACTATGAATTGAAGTGAGTGTTTGTACCCTATATCCATTGTCCATCTACGGCTATGACTGATTTGACAGAAAATATAACCTCTAAAATCGTATCTGACAATCAGGCACTACTAGGGAAATTGAAAAGACAAAGAGCCGAATATATGTCTTATTCTTTTATTCACTTAAACCATTGTATTATAGAAAATAGAAAAGGACAAAAGTTCAGCTGTGTCCGAACTCTTATCAAACTAATACCATCCAGTGACTCTAGGTCCTAAGACTCCTGGGATTCTGTTGAACAAGAGATCATTATTAATTTGACATGACAGGATATTGACAAACTGATTATTTATCAACTTGATAGGTAACAATGCTTCTGTGACGTCTGAGAATCGAGCAGCAAAGCGCAGCAAAGTTGATGAAAGATTCATTACTCGCTGGAATGAAGACCATGATGGATTATTATTATCAGAGTGTAAAATGATATAGGAATCAAACATTCCATGCTTATAAAAATGCATTAGAAATTTAATTTTTGGTTTTCACAAATAATTTAATTTGTGGTTTTTGCCAATGTAGGTTTAGAAAAATACTATTTTGCGAACTCAATAAACGAGTGACTGACTATGTGTGGGGATGTTGTCAAGACCATATTTTGATGCTTAGTATGGTAATGGTTGTTGATAACAAATCCTCGGAAATCTTTTCAGTTGATATGGCAACGTAACTGAAAGTCACTCACGCATTATGTAAGTACAAATTCCAGCATTCACATGTCGTTTCTGCTTCCGTTCTTTTCTTGTTTGCTGCTCCAGGAGATAGAGAGAGAGAGGAGTATAGGTACTTTGTCGATTGTGATCATCATTGTTCTTGAAGGGCGGGCCCCACCAGGGCCGTATACAGGGAGTGCTTCTCGGAATGAGGGTGGAGATCGTCAGTGGAGATCAGTTTTCTCACAGAAAATAGGTTGAATTGAGAGGAGGAGAATGGCTATATACACATTAACTTACATACCCGTAGAAGGAAGCAATTGAGAAAATGCGATATAGAAAACCTGATAAAATGAAAACCGATCAATTTTTCACTTTCATACAAAGGAGAGTTATATACAGATTGACTTACATACCCTTCGAGAGGAGCAATAAGAAAAACATGACTGCAAAAATCCATAACATGTAAAAAGAAAATTCCAATTTCATAACATGAAAATAAAGATTTTGTCACAAAAAGTAGGTTGAAATAAGGGAAAACGAAGGTGCATATTTTTCAGTTGGAGTTTTGGTGGAATCTTCTGGAATAAAATGGTATCTTCTGAAAATGCTTAGAATTCTTAGAAACTTTCTGAGAATCCTTATAAGTTCTTCACACTTTCTTTGGAATTATTTTGGAATTATTACAGGTCCTAGAAATTTCTGAAAATTCTTAGGATTCTTTAAAACAATTTTTCGGATCGAAATTATTCAAAAAAATCAACTGGGTATCATAAAAAAACTGTTCTAATATGTCTAAATTATTCTTCAGAAAAATCAGTTTTTTCAACTGGTCAAGGCACTATAACGCCCTTTCTTGGCCTATTAGAAACTTGAAAATAATTTCCAGATATCCACTTCCATAGTAAATATTTCTTTTCTGAAACGAGCATACAGACGGCAAACGATTCCTGAGATACAACCGGCGTCTCTTGTACCTTCTCAGTCCTTTATACTCGTAATCATCAATATATTTTGGTCATTCAAAAACTTTTATGGAACAATTTTCCACGAATTTTTTCAATTTGTGTTTGTGCTCACTTTTTCTTCATAACAACAAAATACATTTTTTTCAAATGAAATGATCTATATCTTTTTCCATAATTCGATGAAGTCTGTCAATACATTTTTGAACAAAGATTGACGAGCTTCATCATGAAAAATGATGGGTCATTTCATTCAACAACAACAATTTTTTTGAGCCGCCCTGTATCATGTAGTCGAGCCTTATCATTGGGATATCGTAAACCGTATAAGATACAAGGTCGGTTAAATTATGGCGAAGTTGCGCAATTTTATGCCTAACAAAATACCGTATTTAAATTTGAAAAATTCCGAATACTTCCAAAAAATTTCGGAAAAAAAATACAATTATTCGCGATGACTCTATTCAAAAAGATGTAACAACACAAATTACACCTCATCATTGCTACATTTTCTGTTCAACATGATGGTGTTATCAGATTTCCAAACCGACGTTTTGTCTTTGAGCTGCCATCATCAACTTTGTTTTTTTTTAAATACGACCCTGTATTTTTTATTATCGATTTTGAGAGCAATCAATCTCCTAAAATCAACGATGTATCCCACCTATTCGAAAAAGGTGTTTGTTTTCATCCCTATTGAAAATCTATTCTCTGTCTCTCTCTAACACATGGGTTCTCATGGAAAATGTCATTAATATGAAATTCTCGACTGATTGCGGTAGGTACACCGTTCGTTTCGAGAGATCAAAAGCTCTTATAATCCATAATCAATCAATCATGTGCTGTATTTAAAAAACAAAGTTGATGATGGCAGCTCAAAGACGAAATGTTGGTTTGAAAATCTGATAACACCATCTTGAAGAACAGAAAAAGTAGCAACAAGAATGTCTTACTTGTTTTGTTACTTCTATTCGAATAGTCATAAAAAAATGAAAATGAAATCGAATTTTTCCGAAACCTTGTCATAATTTAGCCGAACCTGTATCTCTTGGGTTTACGAGATCCCTCCTCGGTCCGATCCTGTTCCGTTCAGGTCCTATCGGCTCAGTTCGGGCCCTCATGAATACGCGCCGAGGCTTCCTCTCGCATACCCAATACCAAACCAAAACGGAAAACATACAGAAACCGTCAGTCCACGAACCTAGTCCGCGCAAGTCGTTGCTGCACGCTACACTGGCCGCCGCTGGACATGTGCACTTTGCCCCAAAACAAATGTCCGCGCCCGCAACATTGTCATTGTCAACGTCAACGATCGTCGACTGTTCCAGCAGCCACAGGTGTCATGCCCGGAACGTAGCTCCGTCCAGCTTTTCGTTAGTGTGTGAGTGTGTGTGTGATTGGTAATAATGCACGAGAAAAACGGCAATCAACCGGCGCCCCAGAGACAAAAGACAGTGGCCATTGTGGCTCCCACGAGGAGCAACAGCTTGGATTACTTGAATTTCGAGGAGAAGCGACGTCTGATTGCGTCGTCGTTGTCTCTGTCGGATTTCTTGAGCGTCGGCAGCGCCGATCCCAAGGATCTCAAGGATCTTCGAGATGGGGTCGCGACTGTTATCGTGGGTAAGTGGGTAACGAGATTGTTGAAGATGATCCTTGAAAAGTCCTCGAAGATGGCTCTTCAACCTTGTATTGTATTGTTTGCATGAGGGGGTGAATGCAATGCGACCAATAGAAGATCTATTATGTCCTCTTCTTCTGCATACTCAATGGGGTTGTTCTCCGTAGCTATAGCAATTTCTCTCTGGTTCCAGGTCGGGTAACTTCTCCTCTATCATGTGTGCTCCTATAGGTTTCTTGTCATGGATGGTGTTTCCTCCTCTTCCTCAGGAAACTTGCATTCATCTTCATGTTCCTCTTCTAAGCCGAGCCTCCTAAGATGTCCTTTCAACTGGCAGTGCCCTGTTAGGACTCTTGTTAGTAGGTATACGATCCTTTTTGCTTAGGCTATGCGTTCGATCTTTTGTGGTTATTACCTAGTAGTATCTCATCCTGTCTGAGAGCTTGATGATTTTCCCAGATGTGTAATCTCTGTTTAGCTCCATCTTTTCTGATACAGTACTGCTGCTTATCCCGCAGAAGGGTTCTGGCTCCACGAACGGTGTTTAAGCTCCTTTCCTAGCGAGTTTGTGTGCTACTTCATCCATTTTCTTCTAGTCCGGAATGTCCCGGAACCAGAGATCCGGAACCCCTTGCGGAACCCAAAGACGGGTGACTGTATTTCTGTTAGTTATAGCTCCGTGGGTCTAGAAGTCTAGAAGCTCATGGTTTATCTCCTAACAGTGTTAGAAAACTTAGTCTTGACAATAACCAGGACAAGTCCTTGCTGTGGCCAAGTAAATAGTATGTATACCGTTGGTTGTTTCATTCAGTTCCTGACAGATCCTGTATTATCCTCCTGTCAAGCCATCTGTTGTCTGAGCCTACTCTATGAAGAGTTCTATTATTCTATAGTTGTTTTCGTATGTTTTTTGCTCCGAACCTTCTTACCTATATATACAGAGCGTTTTTGTTAGGCTAGTGAAACGTCGTCTTCATTGTCCTTATATTGCCATCGCTATATTACGTGTTAGTACTGGTATTCAAGTTAGGGCCAGTGTTATTTTAATTGTTCAGCTATTTCAGTCAAGTCATCTTAGGTGATCACAATGCAGTCCTAACTGATTTGCTCAGAGCTGAGCGCATTCATTGCCGCTTGGCTCTCAGAATGAATGACCATGGTCGAGACCATCTCCTGCTTTCTTAGATCCTTCATACTATCATATATTTGCGTCCTCTGAACAAAATAAACTCCCATTAAGATCCAAACCAAGTGGCGATGAAATAATTAGCTAGATCGAGAGCTAGACACAGAATATGGTTGATGCTCAGAAAATTCACTCGATTTTCTTATCAGACTGTTTATTGTACATTAATTACTTATAGTGTGTCGTGTGTCTCGCGAATATGGCGCCTGTACACACAAAAAAAGAATCTCTTGTATTGAGCATGACTGCATTGGTCCAAGAAAATAATTTGTTTGTATATAACGAAAGAGATGATATTCTTGTTCCGAAACAATGATTTATTCAACAAGTCTCTTGTAGGAAAATTAAGATATGCATGGTTGGAGACGTCTATTATGTTGAAGTGAGAATGAAATCAATTCATATTGACAAAACCATTTACTTATTTCAGGAAAACCATAATTTTGAGGTGAGAAATCCATCCACCAAGTGAAAACAATCATTTTCCTAATTTGCAACCATGGATTACTATTATTGAGAATTGTTCTCTTTCATTTCAAAATAAACGATTTATTCTAGTCAAAGTTCTGTCAATCTTCAATAAAAACATTGATATTTTCGATCCGAATAAATGAGTTTTTCATAATGAATATTCAGCTCATTCTCTCCAATGGGACTATTTTTTGTTTCAAAATATTGACTGCTCAGTTGAAAATATCATAATGTTTTTGATTCAAAACTGTGAATGATTCCTAATGAGATAATCAAACTCCACAGAATATTCGTGTAGAAATATATTTTTGTTTCTTTAGTTGACCATAATCGCATGTATAGGTACTTCTTGGATCAGTTTAGTCCATCATGACCCCAAATGGTTATAGAATAATCCCATGCATGCATTGATTTCGTCTTCTTGAGGTTTTGCTGAAAATGATAACGGTCACAAACAATGACATAAGTATTATAATTGATTAAAAACTCACCTCAATAATCGTGGCTCCAGTGATATCATGCCTTCTGGAAGATATCGGGTATATAGATTCGAGATACTCGGCAGGAAACTTTTTCTCGCCTAATTTCAAGGTTCTTTCAAGTCTTTGCAATACCTCATTTGTAAATAATACTTCTTCATTCATCAACCAGTCGTCATTTTGCTACAAAAGAATTTCGTATTACAGAATGAGCATATTTTCATAGCAGGATAATACTAAATTCCAGTTATTTTGATTGAAAATTTGTTGATTCACTCACAATGACTATCGAAATTTGCAAATACCTACTTACCAAGGGAATTCAATGTTGTACCTTCACCAGCTCTCGACAAGTTCAGCATTTGTCATTTGTTAGATATTTATGTTCTAAGACAATTCACACCTATACACACTCAATATAAAACATTGAAAATTTTCAAACTACGCAGCTCAATGCCGTTTCGCCGCTGTGGGCCTGTCATAATGATGTGAGCATTGTCAATAATGATTGTAGACTGGGGACTGAGTTCTGGCAACAGGATTGCTTACCCTTGATTTTCGAGGCATATTATTTTCATTCAAAGAAATACCTACTCATAGACTTGAATCAAGTAAATAAAGTATTGAATCAAAATGTTGCTTCTTTAGTTAGAGAAAATATTGATATCATCAAGTTGAAGATATTACATTACCTTCATTTGAGAAAATTGATATTCATATTTTTGAATCAAGTAAGTATGGCATGGAATAGAACTATCAGAAGTCTTCGAGTTGATGAAATTGTAATATCAATATGATGAAATTAGAATGCTTCATTTGAAGAAATAATTATTTATATTTTTGTATCAAGGAAATTACGTATTGCCTCAACATATTCGGTTTTTGCAACTTGAGAAAACTGAATATATCATTCGAAGATATGAGCATTCTTTAATTTGAAGAAATGTATACTTATAATATTGGATCAAGCAATAAATTTATTGAAACAAAATAGTACGCTTCTGCGAATTGAAAAATCCGTTTTGATTGAGTTGAAGTAATTAATTTATTAACTGAATGATTGCATTCTTGGTTCGAGAATATATTTCAATAATATGACACTATTTTCTTGAACATACCAGATTTTTTGACTCAAAAGAATATGCTCAATTCAAAGCAGATATATCATTGAATTTTCAAGAGAATGGGTTTTCTCATTCGAAGAAATTTTTTTTCTGTGTGTACAACCTATAAGCTTCACTTAGCTTCACTCCATCAGAGCGATAAATGAATGAAATGATTATGAGGTCTAGACATCGTTCGAATAAAAATCGATTCTTTCCCGCACCCATTAAGGTAGGACCCGGCGAAAGTCGTTCACCCATTGCACTTGAAATGGGTCCCTTTAAACACGTTCGTCGTTCGTTTGTCACCAAAACAGAAGAATGCTAGACGCATGATACGGATGGTTTGTTTTTTGTTGTATTGACTAAACCAGGGTCGATGACCAAATTCGAGTAAACGTTCACGGTTTTCCACTCGCTTTTCTATGTTTATTCAACTGATAACATTCCATGCACAAATATTTCTACGTTGGAAACATCCTCAATATAATTAGGTATATTAAATTCCTCTCAAGTACTATCATGAAAGGCTCAGATGTTTTGCTAAAATAATAGCTTCGAGTCGAGTTAACATTCACTGCTATTTGATCTTTATTTGCGCATTTTTACAGGGTGATTCGTGTGGGAGCTATGACGATACTACGCTGTAAAAAACAAGAACACATTTTGAATCTTGGAAATGGTATAATAATAAAACCGAAATAAAACATTTATCAATGTGAAAATTCACAAATTTACTACTCCACACTTCAAATACACTACTTTTGGTAAATGAAATATGATACAAGTTCAGTTCAGTTCGAAAAAATTGTTTATCTATGTATAATTTTCGAGACAATAATTTCGCTGACAGTAACAACAACAAAAAAATGGTTTGCTATAAATAACTATATAAGGCTATACAACTATCACTTCGACCATCATCGTCAAAGAATCCTCGACCATCACACATTGTATACAATTAATGAAAGAAGTATCGATCGAAGAATTTTCATATGTCATGTCTCAAACGGATCACCCTGTATGTCATGTCTCAAACGGATCACCCTGTATGTCATAATACTATATGGTAATATAACAGGTTCGATCGAACTCCTTAAAAATTGTGACTGTAATTTTGATCGAAATTATACACTACTTTACGACATGACTGTACAGTGTACTGTGTGTCCAGTTTTCGATGCTTTTGTGCGATATCTCAGTTGTCTTTGGAGATAGAGAGTTGCGGTTTTTACATTACTGTCTTACTTTTTTGTGAAACGGACTTGACTTGATAAGCGTTCATGTCAACAACTATTGACAGCTATAAACAACTTTGTTTTCTACTGAGTCACCACGGCCTACTTGCGAAAACGCATAGTAAAAGAATATCTTTGAATTAAAACATCAATAATATAGAAAAATGTCAACCATTATATATTTTCGGAAAGCCAAAAAAAATCTGAATCGAAATGTAAAGAAATATACAAGGTGTCCCATTTGAAAAATAAAATGTTGGCTTCAATTTCTGAAAATGAACCATTACGGAAACAGAATGAGTACGCCACTGTATTATGCGTAAACAGTTATACAAGGTTCTGTTCTCACCTTGCCAATAAGTTGGATACTAACCAAGATACGGGAGGTGCTACGGCTCAACTCTCTATCTCCAAAGACAACTGAGATATCGTACAAAAGCATCGAAAACTGGACACACTGTACTGTGTACTCACTTTTCTTGAGCAAGTATTAGAAATGCCTGATATGCTGTCGCTTTGATTTTT